AACGTGTCTAGTACAAAACTATGGAAAACTATTTGATTCAAAATGGTTATCAAAGACTATAAGACCTGAAGAACAAGTTGTGCTGAAAAACTACCTTTCAACTTCACTCAAAGCTACAGCTGAGAAATGCACTTTTCTAATTTTTTTGCACCTGAGTTTTGATATTTTGGAATACGTTATATATGAGTCTGACCAATGCGACGCAGACTTTTGTAGCCATAACAAAATATTTTAGGGTGTGAGGTGTGAGTGTGGGTTTGCGTGTGGGTATGGTATGGATGTGGGTGTGCATCTTTAGTTAACCCACCAAAACACTCATACTCACACCCACACCCCACCCACACCCACACCCACACCCACATCCCACACACCCACACCCACACCCACACCCACATCCACACCCACACCCCACACCCCACCCACACCCACACCCCACACGCCACCCACACCTACACCCACACCCACACCCATACCCACCCTACTACTTATTCGAGTTTGAGTGGAAAATATTTTCCTCGAGAGGAACCTGTCTATCTTATATTGGATACTCCCTTATTTGGTGTTGGATGGTAGATCTTTTGTTGACAGCCACAAAGATTAATTCTTAGCAGATATCACGATGAATTTTTAATAGTTATTTTAGATAATTAAACGATGGTGGCAACCGGAGTTATTGTGTTTCTAAGTGCAATTTCATTTTATTTCTCACTTATTCACCATGTCATAAAACCGGATCAGTTTTAGCGGTAAACCGCGGCTTACCGGTAAAAGCCGCCGGTTTACCGCGGTTCACCATTAAAAAAAACGGTTAACCGGTAAGGAGCCGGTAAAGCGAGAAAAACCGCCGGTTTACCGCGGTAAACCGGAAAAAGCAGCGGTTCACCGTGGTTAACCGGAAAAAAACCGCGGTTCTCGCCGGTTAACCGCGGTTTTTCTATGTCAAGGAGCCGGTAACCGGACCGGTAAAACCGCGGTTAACCGCCGGTTTTTGCCCGGTTTTCATCACATGGGTCTTTATTGTCATTTTGAAACGAAAAGTAATCCGACGCCAGCATCTGCGAATGCATCAAACAATTACACTTCTGAGCAGTTATGCGCGCAATTTTACGGAAAATATCCTATTGATCTAATTATCTATTCGGCAAACCTCGTATCTACAAACATCGCTACGCTAATCATTTCGTTAGCCTTCGGCTTATCAATTTATGGCTGGTTAACGGATCCTATGGACATGAGAGAATCTATCATAGATATTTACAAAGAAATGAAAACTACAGCCCAAGTCGTATTTACTGAACTTTGGACAACTGTACAAGGAGCCATTAAATCAGTCTGGAAATCTTTGTCCATCATTAGAACAATCCAGTTCGCCTTTTTATTGTTACTTTTGATATCAGTGCCAGATTTTATAGATTACTTCAAAAAGGCACTAATTCGATTCGCTAAATTCTCGTAAATTTGTTTCCATTCTTTCTTCACCTTGTATTTTTTGTTTTATTTGATCTAACATGTAGGAAACATTATCTTGTTGTGGCCAACAGTTCATTTTATATTTGCTTTCATTTTTTAATTATAAAAGATTCTGTGCATCTGTTTTTCTTTTAGACTCAATAATGTTGAAAAATTTATTGCATGACACATTATCATCAGATGCTCTTCGTTTAAAAGATTTACAATCTGGTTTTGAAAGGCGTGTTGAAGTAAATCAACGAATGTTAATTGATAAAATGCTTGCATGTTATTCATCTGATTTTGTTGTTTGTCGTGAATTAATACAAAATTCTGATGATGCTAAACCAACCTCATTTCATTTTTGAACTAACATGTGATGGTGGATCATCATTTTAAAAAAGATGTTCATGATAAAAAAATAACAGAAATTCGTGCAATAAATAATGGTCTTGCATTTAATGAAACTGATTGAAAACGTGTAGCAGCTACTACCGAAGGAAATACCAATGTTGAATCAGTTGGTGAATTTGATGTGAGACTTTTTTTTCTGTTTTCTCATTTTGTGAAACACCTACTACTATATAAGAAAATTAGTATATGACATTTATTTGACGTGGTGATAATTCTTTAACAACTTATCGTCATAAATTATCAATCGACCAACAATTCCAATTAACATCAATTATTCTTAAAAGGCGTGCAAAACATATTTTACATACTGAAATAAATATTGATTTTGATTCATCAATAAATTCTCATGAAGAAATGAACGGTAACTTACCCAATAAAAAGTCTAATAAAAAAACCAAAAAAAATTATAACAACAAATGAAATTATTCCAACTAGAGAGCTGCACCAGGTTTTCTGGACCCGGCCAAAGAATCATGAGCCATTTTATCATATCGAATATTGAATCATTATTTGAACATGCATTTTGTAGAGAAATGTTTGCTCTTTCAATCTACGTAGTTAGAAGTATACAACAGCCTTTCATAACCAATATTTTTTTAAATAAATAGGTTCGGGTCCACACCCGGGTCTGGACCCGGTTCAAGTTTGGACCCGGACATATTTATTTAAAAAACATTGGTTATGAAAGGCTGTTGTATACTTCTAATTACATAGATTGAAAGAGTAAACATTTCTCTACAAAATGCATGTTCAAATACTAATTCAATATTCGATATGATAGAATGACTCATGATTCTTTGGCCGGGTCCAGAAAACCCGGTGCAGCTTTCTAATATCGATATAGGTGTGGGTGTGGGTGTGGGTGTGGGTGTGGGTGTTGATACCTTC